CCCCTTGTCCTATCACTACATGTCCTTGTAAAAAGTCCCTCTCCAGCTTTCCTATAGGCTCCCTTTAAGTACTGAAAGGCTGCAATCAGATCTCCCTGCAGCCTTCTCCTCTCCAGGCTGAACACCCCCAACTCCCTCAGCCTGTCCTCATAGGAGAGGTGCTCCAGCCCTCGGATCATTTTTGTGGCCCTCCTCTGGCCCCGCTCCAACACTTCCAAGTCACCTGAGCCGGTCAGGCAGAGGGGTCCCCATGCCAGAGAAATGGCTAAAGCCTTTGGAAAAGAGCCCGGATCCCTGCTCTGGTCCGTTCTGCTGGAGTGTGTGGTGCTGGTGTCACCCGTGCATCTGCTCCGCAGGGGCAAGCTGCATCCTGGAGTTCGCTGAAGATGGTTGAGATGTTGGAGGTCTTCTCCTTTCTTCCCCACGCACCGTGCAACCCACACCATGCATCCACGCCCGCTCCGGCGGCTGCTCTGAGCAGGTAACACGTTACCTGTGCCCACGCTTGGACCTACACACGCAGACGGAGCCCCTTGCTCTCGGGTACACCTTACGCTGTTGGATTTAGTACCAGGAGGATGTTGATAACACGCTGATGTTTTTAGTTGTTGCCAAGTAGTGCTCAGACTACTCAAGGACTTTTTGGGCTTCTCCTGCTTGGCCAAGGGCATAACGAGCTGGGAGGGGGCACAGCCAGGCCAGCTGACCCCAACTGACCAAAGAGCCATTCCAGACCATGGAACGTCATGCTCGGGGGGGTTAATCGGTCAGTTGGTTGCGGGGAGAGCGATTGCTGCTCGGGGACTGCTCGCAGCTCGGGGAGGGATCGCTGCTCGGGACGGGCTGGGCATCGGTCGGCGGGTGGTGAGCAATTGCACTGAGCACCATTCGTTTTGTACATTCTCTATATTCCGTTACCATTCTCATTATTACTATTATTATTATTTTCTCTTATTAAACTGTCTTTATCTCAGCCCACGGCTCTAACTTTTTTGTTTTTCCTTCCTCATTCTCTCCCCCATCCCACGGAGGGAGGGGGGGAGGGAGCGAGCGGCTGCGTGGTGCTG